AAAAAATGACCACAAAGAGCCACAAAATCTACCACAAGCAGGAAATGAACTAGAAAGTGGCATAAAAAAATGACAAACAACAATTTAACCACAAATTTACCAAAAACGCATCACAAACAAACCCAAAACTACAAAGACGTGCAAAAAGACCATCAAACGATACAAAACAACCATAAAAATGACCAAAAGGAGACACATAACATCCATACAGAGACCAAACACCTCATACAAAAGACACCAAACACAACACGAGCAGAGAAACATGACGACAAAGATGTGTGCAAAATGACTAGAACATGACAAAATGATCACAAGGTGACTCGGACACAATGCAATCTGATGTGTATAACATCATAAAGTTTCCAGATTTACAGAGATTCATGATGTCTGAGTGGTTTCAGTCGACAGAACATGATTTTATAAACAGCGATTATATAAAAAGACGGTCAAAATGTAGCTTTACTGATATGATGTGACTGTTATCAGGCGTCTGCGGTGAATAAACTGTCCGGCTGGAGAAATGCGATATATCATATGAGGATACATTCCTGACCTGAGTGTGTCCTCAGCTCAGATTACAAATGAAATCAGCCTGTTTTAAGGCCTCGACCCCTGTGGCCTTGCTCTGGATATAAACCTCTGGCTAATGGAGGGAGACCGGGCGGCCCACGGCGATCAGGTTTCCCCCCGAAGACGACCAATCCAGTGCTTCGCATCAAAAATGCCGCTAATAAAGCAATCACACAGCACCTGGTGGCTGTTTCACCTGCACGGGGGGTAATGGAGGGTCTCGAGGAAACAACACGACAGATCCATGAACGGAAATGATTACAGCCCAGGCTTTATTATGTTTTTCACAATAAAATTGAACAGTTGATTGGATGTGTTCTGTTCTGAGAACCAATTATGTTTCTTTCTGCTGCGTTTGCTGAGCGACTCGGTCAATCACAGCAGGAAACACCACAAAGTTACTGAGCTGGTCCAGGCCTCAGCCACAAATAACATGTTTTTATGAAGAGTAAAGTCTGTTCTGCTGAATACTGGGTCAACTCTGCTACGCTGTTTTAAAAGGTTCTACTCTGTAATACATCACAGTAGGATACAGCAGCGGAGAAATTTTCCAAAATATGATTAAAATGAATATGGATGCTAATCTTTGACACATCCCATAATCAGGAAATTTATTTTCCACTTAGCTCTTTATAGATGGAAAACAAGTATTAAAACCCTGAAAATGAATATGTGTTTTATAAGATCAGGACAGACGTTGGTTATAATGAATTAGTCATTAAAAATGGAAAATAATATTAATATATGACATTGTTAAGCCAGTATTTTTGCCGATGACATGTTTGAGTGTGAAGTTTTGGGGGTTTTTTTCTAATTCTGACCACATAAAAAAGTAAACTTGCACCAGAATCAGTGTTTGTGTTAGTCATTGACACAAACCAGACTGTAGTTTTTTATATATATATATTTTACTTAGCACTTATTATATGGAAAATAATTTATTTTGTGTATTTTATTGGACAAAAAACAACAATGGCATCGTGTAAACAAACTGGCAGTTAAAGTGTTTGGTTTGGTCGTTGTGATCAGGACTGATAGTGGTTCAAATTAATCAGTTATTAGAAATGCAAAATAACTTTCTATGACATTTTATAAACAGTATTTTTGACAAGGACATCATATTTTCCAGTTTTACCGGTTTTATCTGCCGCATGTGGAGCCACTGTAGTGAAATATTTAGTTACAGGACGTATGAACCACAACAGTCTGTGTGTTCTCTGTATATTACACAGCTAGCATGTGCTAAACTAGCTGAACTACTGTCTTTTGTAAATCCACATTTATACTATTTGACTGAATAACTGGTCAAACAGCTGAATAGGTTGTTAGCTTAATAATTTTTCCAACTTCCTCGTAATTGACTGCAAAAGTTAGAAATTGTTCAACATGCTCGAGGCAAATTCCGAACCAGAAAAAAACAAACAGAGGAGTTTGGCTAACACATTAGATATCAGAGGTTCCCATAGGCATGAATGGAGTTCCAACTGAGTCCGATACAAACACAGAAGTGTGTGGAAATGAGGTGTTCATCTATGCACCGACAGAAATGTAAAAAAAAAAAACATGTTTTTAGAAGTTATGTGTTACTTATTACCAAGAAAAACAAGAATGAGTTCTTGGAGTCTCCCATTTACAGTGAAGTTGCTGAGTTTGGTGGAAAGACCTGAACACACCATCTGTCCACCTTCAATAGAAGTGATATTTGATTTGAGTCATTCCACCTCAATTCACCAATTCTTTAAAAAGTTCACACCTGACCATCTCATATTTAGCAGACTTTCTTTCTTTTTTTTTTTTTGCACATACAAATTTTTTGAGTTTTTGAGTTAAAATTCTTAAAGATGATGGGTCATGTCTGTTTTTGCTGTTTTCTTCGTGCCAATCTGTGGATTAATATTTGAAGTGACATAACTTAAAAAATAATGCAGCTACAATCCTGAAATTTTGTAGACTTGCCGATACCTACGTATGGTCTTTAACTGCAATCTCCTGCTTTGATAGAATGACACAAACCAGTTATATGTTGGTGCAAATATGGTCAAAATGTTCCACTCATTTTTCATTCTGATAATCTACCAACCATAAAAACTTTCATTTTACATTCTAAGAAGCTGATGGCTGTTCCTGTGATTGGCACCAATACGACCTTTAAAAATGTAGAGTATGGTGCTGCATACTTTCTGAGAAAAAAAAAAAAAAGTACTGCCAAAAAATTACATTTTTTGACAGGTGAAACCAACACTGTTGTTTCTGTGCCAAAAGAAAAATCATGCCTTTCCAACTCATAGTCACATGGTCAACTCAATCAATGTTCACCACTTTTTTAATAAAAAAAACAAATTGAAGATGTTCAGACGTGGGGGTGTTGGCTGACTTGAGGCGGAACGGCCCATATGTAAATAAGCTGTTTAAATATTAAGTGCAGGCTTTAAATCTTACTCAACGGCTTTGTAAAGCTGTTTACTGCTGAGATCTGCCGACGTGGCCACTCTGGTAGAGTCGTGAGGAAAATACATCAACAAGAACCAGAAGTGGAAGAAAATCTGCAATAATTAAACCCACCAAGGTTGTAAAAAATTAACTCTGAATACTTTAAAAAGCTGTTATATTCGTACTTTGGCTCGTTGACGTTCAGAACTCGTCCATCAGCGGCGATCAGTGTCCTTGGCGTCTTCGGCTTCTTCTCCGTCTCCCTGCAGAGAAACAGCAACAGCGTGAGATGACTACAAATGCTAATATGTACGTCTACAGGCTGAACTGACAGATGACAGCAGTGGAGTTATGGGGTCTGCAGGGTGAAGGAGAAACCATCTTCCCTTCAGGAGCACCAATAAAGACAGAGGCATCAAATAATGTGTCATGGAGTAAGGTGCTGTTGGAGAAACCCCTGCACCAGCTCCCAAACATGTACATGCATTTAAAATGTGTGCAGGAAATGAGGAAAATATAAAGAAATGACAGGAAGTCACGCCGCGTCATGTTTTTTTTTTTCCCTTCAGTATCCCTGCATCATCGTTGTCGGTTTTAGCTGCAGTCAGGTCTACAGTTTTAGAAAATGGTGGCGGCAACTCGGTTGAATGAAATGCTTTAAGTCTGGGGGTTCTTTAAATAATCACAGAACAAAGAGGTGGTTTGTAAACTGAGCAGAGTTTAACCGTCAGACAGCAACAACACCTGAAGAGAAAACACACAGGAGGAACTTTATCGGTTAGCTTCTTTCCTGCCCTTTGTGCTCACATTTTAATAGAGTTGAATTGCCAATAAAGCTGCTTTCTTGACATAGTTTTCTCTGTTGTCAGTCAGTACAACGAGGAGTAAATGGGGACTGAAATGTAGCTCTATAAACTAAACTAAACCATGATTCTATCGCCATGTTTTCAGACAACAATTACACAACAAGGCCGGAGAAGCTGTTTTAGCTGCTGCTTGTAAATACAGTGTAAGTCAGTGGCCTTGTAAACACCTTGTATATCATGACGCTCTTGAATTTCCAATGATTCCTATAACTTGAAACTTTCCTTGATGGAATCATGAAAACACATGAATCTTTGTCACAAAATAAAATAATACATTTTGGTTCTTTCATAGAATAGATTAGATTAGACTAGACTAGACTAGATTAGATTAGACTAGATTAGATTAGATTAGATTAGATTAGATTAGATTAGAAACAGAAAGTTGTGTTCATCAAATTTTCTTCATGGCATGGCCTCTTAGCAGCATCCTGCTTTCTTTCGCTGAACTCCAGCTGGTATATTCCGGATTTTCAAAACCAGGATGAGTGCTGATCCAGGTTGTTGAAACCAGGAATGTTTACATGTGCAAAAAAACAGACGTAGATACTTTACAAACCTGAATCTGAGTATCTTTAAAGCTCCAGTTGGTGTCGCGGCACGTTAGCGGAGCTGAAGAGCAGTTTTGTTAAAAAGCTAGCGTCACCTTATCTCCTCGTCCAGTTTTGTTCTGGTACTAATCATACTATGAGCTCAAAGCATCGTCTCAGAATCTGCTGACTCCAGTTTTATTTGCACTTGAAGTTGGACCAAAAATAAGTTGTATGTGCAGTTTTTTTGCTTTTATTGTAGGAACGATCACGTTGTTTCTCAACATTGGTGGGCAGTACAGGATAGATGATTGACAGCTGTTCTTCAACAGGAATCAACACAGGCTCTGCCCCCCTACAAACACTGGCTGCATCTGATTGGACGACGCTTTACTTGGAGGCTGCTCCTGGATTTCAAACCGGACCAACGTGGCGCTTACATTAGAAACTTTTATTACGAAAACAGTTCTGCGAAATGTGTTTCTGAAAACATTTCAGGCGAGAAATAAGCTGCTGAATATGTTTTTATTTTACACTGACAACATTTTTCGAGGGTTACGCTCAGTGCTTTTCATTTGCATAAAAAAAAAACCCCGCATATTGCAGTGCTGCGCTAACTGACAATGAATGGGAAGCGTTGAAGTGACAGGCTTCAGATTTAGTATCTTTTTAAACTGAAGCCTGCTGACCTCCACCTCTAAGTCAAAGGGTTTCCTGGACTCTCATTACCATCTGCTGTGCAACCAGTCTCTCCATTAGCGGCAGGAAGCAGATGAATGTGTCGACGGGTGTTTAGCACTCTGCGGAGGGTCGTCCTCTGCAGCCGTACATCAGCAATGAAGACGAGGAGGAGTGACATCGAGCTCGAACAGCCTTCAATCTGCTGAACTCCGGGGCGTTTTATTAGAGCTGCAGAGAGCTGTGATGAGTTTAAGTGGTGCTGTGGAGCCGAGCGGTGGGACACTTCCTGGGTCAGTGGTTCATATTAGAGTCATACTGTCAAACAGAGATGCTGTTCTCCCCAACGGTTTCTGTTCAAACCAGAGGTGTGATGGTTTTTATAGTTGTATATGTGATTTTCTTTTAACTTTTGTGCTCCTGATAGGAACAATTTTATTTCCATTTCCTAATATAAATGAAAATAACTTCATAGTGTTTATTTGTTGTTTTGTTGTCTGTGCTGTACTGTAAATACAAAAAATATATATCTTTTATGTATGAACACATGTTTATGTTCTTAGAAAACATACCAGTTTGTAAATGTGTGACCGATAATTTCAGTTTGTTCAAACAGAGGGCTTATTTCAGTGTTTTGCATATTTTCATTATATAAAAATAAAAAATGTAACTTGTTCAAACTAGTATTTCTGTTATTTTTTTAACTGTTATGTATCTAAATACCACAACTACAAACAAGTTTTTCAAGAAAAATGAAATGATCAATCCAGTTTCACTAAGTTACCTCAGCTTGAATTTTCTTTTAAATCAACGAACTCAGAAATTTGAGCTTAAATTACAAATAATATTAAGCTGATGCATCATTATTCTGTTAACTCAAACCATTACAAATAATGTTTGTAACTTAAAAGGATTGTTTCATTCAGAGTCTTCTTGCAACCAAACATTTAATGAAGTGGTGGGAACAGGTCCTTGGAATCATTTTTTAGAGTGTTCAGAGACTTTAAGGCTTAATAATATATAAGGGAGGCAGTTCTGGAAGCTGCTGGAGGAACAACACTGTAATTACACTCTTCATGTTGGGGTTTCCTTCAGCAGCAGTTTGGGTTTAATGGAGCAGAACTCTAATTGACGAACGAGGAGTCCAAAATTACAACCATTTGAATGTGGTGTGAGTCGAGGTGAGACGTAGGACAAGTATCAACACAATAAGCATCTCCATCGCTCTGCATCCAAACAGCAGCTCTTCCCTCAGCCGTATACTGTCGACTTGTCAAGGTCGTGGTGAGGCTGTAAAATCCTGCTCCGCAACCTATTTTTCTTTTGAGCGGCGTCTATCAAGCAGCTGAGTCATGGAGACATCGGAGCTGACAGCTGCACTGCTGGTCTGAGTGGATCCACAGATGAGGACGATGTGTTCAGACAGCGTTCATTTAGTCTGCAGAGAACTCTTCATCTGCAGTGGATTTATCTGCAGTCAGTGTACGCAAGAACACTGCAGCTTTACAACCCGTCTGTTCGCTGGTGTATTATGGCGCCATAAAGCACAAGTTTTAGACCGTCTGGGAGCTTTTGAGACTTTTCTTGAACCTAAAAAAAATCCAACTATAGACACAAAAAATACAATTTCATCCATGAAATATTGTGTTATTATAGATAAACACAGAAACAAATAGTTGACTATTGTTTTATGAATCTTTCAAATGATCTTTAAAGGTTTTCTAGTTGCAGCTCCTTCAGTTTGAGTTTAAGCGTAAACTGAATATCTTTGGGGTTGGGACTGAAGGTTTGAAGAAAACAAGTAGTTTAAACATAACTTTGGGAAGTTCATGTTAGTAAGCAGAGAGCATTGTGGGTGTTTAGCTTGTAAAGGGGCTCCATGACAAGCGTCCTCTGTGACGCTTAATGACTTGCAGCAACTGCAAATGTGTTGAATCAAACCATTACCAACTAGGACAGAGTTTAGGTTCTTCAGAGTTGCTTCTGCATCCTTGCTTAACAAAGTAATGCTTAATTAGCAAGTTTATATCAATTGATACTAATAATGCAGCAGGTAGTAAGGAAAATATTTGAATTAATGAGAACTGTCCGACAGTGGACGTAAACAAGAGTTTGGGTTTGGGGCACCCCTGGCTTATTTATGACAGTACAGTAAACAACAAACTCCTTGGAAATTGACTTACCAATTGCTTCTTATGGTTTGATTTCAATACCATGTAAGAAACACTAAGTCTTGTTTATTATCCAACAGCAACAAAGACAAGTTTTTTAACAAATGGAAAAGTTGAAGTGTGACAATAAAACTACACTACCTTTATTTGTTTAATGAATGCCTTTTGTTTTCACCAATTTTTAGGTTCTATTTAGTTTGCATTTCTGTTTTCGTCATTTTTTCCCCCTATTTCCCCCTAATTCTTTTTTGCTTCTGTGCTT